ATCACCGGAGTCCTGCAGGTCGACCCTGGGTTGGCTGTGAGCATGCCACGGCACTCCGACCTGGGCGACAGAGACTCCAACTCAAAAAAAAAAAGGGGGGGGAAAGGGAAAAATGATGATGAAATGACTTAAGTAAACCCTCAGAGTTTTTGAAACCACATGGTATGTGCAGGTAAACAGTATTACCTTCCAATAGTGCACAAAGTATCCCATAACATGAACATAGTACCCAAAACTTCCAACCACAGTTTGTCCAGTTTTGTTATCTATTGACACCATATAAACACACACTTACAAACAGCTATTTTAGTGGGCTTGGGCCGCCATCCCAAGGTATCATAGATTGGGTGGCTTGAGCAACATAAATTTATTTCTCGCAGTTCTGGAGGTTGAGAAGGCCAAGATCAAGTTGCCGGTCACTTATATGACCTCATTTAACCTTAATTACTTTCTTATAGGCTCCATTTACAAATACAGTCACATATGAATTTGGGGAGGGGGCACCTTAAGTCCATAGCAGTAGGTAATCCAAATATGCACCACAATTTGCACGTGGTACTCTTTCTCCTGCTTCTTTCATTGTTTTTCATATCTCTAAACTCGTGAAACTTCTTGTCAGGGACAACACGTTTCTTAAGTCATTATCACCTCATTCTGAAGCTGTATTGCCCAAGGTATACAGAGAAAAAAAAAATCAACAAGCATACTTTTGCATTGATTCAAAATAAGATCCTCTCACCTAAAGCAGTTCTCCAGTTTTAGTTAGGAAAACTCCAGAATGATGGGCATTTATTAAAGTCAGGATACCACCATGCACATTTGCAACCTCATATCTTCCTACAAATTCCAAGGAAATGTTCATCATCCATGTTTATTTTTATGTTCGATTTTAGGAACAGTAAATGCTATTCAAATAAGTGGCTGTTTACTTCCAAACTACAAAAATAGACATTTTTTTTTGTTACAAGATTTTTGCAGTAATCATATTTCTGTTTTTATACTTAATGAAGTCATTTGTTTTGATAGATTATAATTCTCTAACAGTAAGGTATGGTGATATGAATAGAAAACAAACATAGGAATAATAAGTTCTGTTACCTGAAATTTTGGTAACCAAAAACTTCTATTAAAACATTTCTAGGCTTTGTTTTTATTACGACACATCATTGCCTGGGGCATTTCACAACCTCCACGAGCTTCCTGAATACTCAAAATGTATTAAAACATGCTATTTCTAACAGTATGTTTATTGTACCTTATTCAAGTTCCCTAGAAACTGATAATTTCTCTACGGATGAATTTTTTTGTACTATTAGTCCAGATGGGCATGCTAAATGTAAGACAGATAGAGGCAAATTCCTACTAAAATATATTAATAATTTGCACTGATATGCCATTGCAGATCAGCATGATAAGAAATCACATCTTATTTTAAATAAGGGAACGTTGAAAGAAACACAAAGATGTACCTAAAAGTATCATTTCCCACCCTCATTCTCTTTTTTTTAGTCACTGTACTTTTTAAAGTATGGCTTTGATCTCTGTTATGCAGATATATTACTTTGAACAACCATTAATCTCCAATGCCAGGCTGACTTGGAAAACATTTGTTCAACGCTTACAATGCTCAAACATCATGATGGAATAAGATATGGACCTTGCTTAGAATAAGTCATAGTTTATTAAGAGAAACAGACAAAAAAATTGCAGTTAATTTTATTTATTTATTTATTTATTTATTTATTTATTTTGAGTTGGAGTCTCACTCTGTCGCCCAGACTGGAGTGCAGTGGCTGCTCCTAGCCACCACAGCCTTGACCTGCTGGGCTCCGGTGATCCTTCCGCCTCAGCCTTCCAAGTAACTGGAACTACAGGCACGTGCTACCACGCCCGGTTAATTTTTGATTTATTGTAGAGATGAGGTCTCGCCAAGTTGCCCAGGTGGGTCTCGAACCCTCAGGCTCAGGCAATCCACTCACCTCGGCCTCCCAAAACACTGGGATTACAGACTGAGCCACCAAGCCTGGCTGTAGTTAATTTTAAAAGGTATTAATTACATATATGAATACATATATGTGCATGTGTATATATATTCTATTTATCTATTAGGACTAATCTCTGTTAAAATAATATATACAGTTAATACATATATTGCATGTATAATAATACACATATTAATACATATATTGCAATGTATATGTAAAATGACTTGAAAAAATACAGAAAATAAAGGTAAAATAATTTTCTAATCTTATGATATATGATAAACACACACACACACGCACACACAAACCTACATTCCTCACGCTTTTCTGGGGAAATAGAGAAATCTGGAAAACTGCTTGTTGGAATAGTGATTAGGAAGATTCATGTAGCCACCAAAGATTACACGACAATTACAATGAGGACCCTTTAATGAAGAGCATATCTGATGTCATGGCTCTTAATGCACTCTGGAAAAATGAAGAAACTGAGCGCACTTTCCTATTATTCACTGAGTGAGATGAATCCTATTTGTATCCAATAAAGACAGGCCTCAGTGTGTTCTGCTTTTCTATACTATGCTTTTTGGATGTTGCATTTTTTACAAATCGAGGGTCTGTGGCAACCCTGTGTCAAGCAAGTCTGTAGACACCATTTTTTCTAACAGCATATTCTCACTTCATGTCTCTGGTCACATTTGGATAATTCTTGCAATATTTAAAACTTTTTTATTATTATCATATATGTTATGGTGATCTGTGGCCAGTGATCTTTGATGTTACTTTTGTATTTGTTTTGGGAAATAGCAGACTGGGACCATATAAGATGGCAAACCTAATCAATAAATGTGTGTGTTCTGACTGATTCACCTACTGGCTATTCCCCCCATCTCTCCCTCGGCTTGGGCCTCCCTATTCACTGAGACACAGCAATATTAAATGTAGGCCAGTTAACAATGCTACATTGGTCTCTAAGTGAAAGAAAGTTACGAGCCTCTTATTTTACATCAAAAGCTAGAAATGATTAAGTTTAGTGAGGAAGGCATTCTGAAAACTGAGACAGGCCAAATGCTGGGCCTTTAGAAGCAAACAGTCAAGTCATGAAAGCTAAAAAAAAGTTCTTAAAGGAAGGTAAAATTGTCACTCCCATGACAACACAAATGATGAGAAGGTAAAACAGACTTTGTGCTGATATGGAGGAAATTCGCAAGGTCTGAATAGAAGATCCAGCCACGGCATTCCCTTAAGCCAAAGTCTCATCCAGAGCAAGGCCCTAACTCTCTTCAATTCTATGAAGACTGAAAGAGATGAGAAAGCTGCAGAAGAAAAGTTTGAAGCTGGCAAAAATGGTGCTTGAGGTTTAAGGAAAGAAGTCGTCTCCATCACATAACAGTGCAGAGTGAGACAGCAAGTGCTGATGGAGAAGTTGCAGCGAGTTATCCAACAGATCAAGCTAAAAAAATTGATGAAGGTGGCCACGGAAATCAATGGGTTTTCTGGGTAGATGAAACAGTCTTCTACTGGAAGACAATTCCATCTAGGCCCTTCATCGCTGGAGAGGAAAAGTCAATAAGTCAATGTCTGCCTTCAAAGCTTCAAAGGACAGGCTGATTTTCTTGTTAGGGGCTAATGCAGCTGGCATCTTTAGTTTGGAGCAATGCTAATTTACCATTCCCAAAATGCTAGGGCCCTTAAGAATGATATGAAATATACTCTCACTATGTTTTATAATTGAAACTACAAAGCCTGGATAACAGTACATTTGTTTACAGCATGGTTTACTGAACATTTTAAGCCCACTGTTGAGAGCTACTACTCGGAAAAAAAAATTCACTTCAAAATATTACTGTTCATTGAAAATGCACTTGGTCACCCAAGATCTCTGATGCAGATTTAGAAGGAGATTAATGTTATTTACATGCCTGCTTGCGCAACATCCATTCTGCAGCCCATGGATCAAGGAGCAAGTTAGATTTTCAAGCTGTATTTTTTAAAGAAATATATTTTGTAAAGCTATAGTTGTCATAGACATAATTTCTCTAAAGGATCTGAGAAAACTAAAGTTAAACTTTCTGGAAAAAAATCATCATCCTAAGTGCTGTTAAATACATTTGTGATTTATGGGAGAAAGTCAAAACATCAATATTAACAGGAGTTTGGAAGAAATTGTTTCTAACCTTCATGGATGAGCTCAAGGGGTTCAAGCCTTCAGTGGAGGAAGTAACTGTAATGTGTGGTGAGAAACAGTAAGAAAACTAGGATTAGGGGGGAGCCTGGAAAGTAATGGGATTGCTGCAATTTTATAATAAAACTTGAAAGGATGAGGAGTTGTTTTTGTAAGGATGAGGAAAGAAAGTGGATTCTTAAGATGGAATCTACTCTTGGTGAAGATGCTGTGGACATTGTCAAAATGGCAACAAAGGATTCCAAATATTCCATAAATTGAGTTGAAAACACAGCAGTAGGGTTTGAGAAGATGGACTCCATGTTTGATAGAAGTTCTGCAGGTAAAATGCTACCACAGCAAAGCATGCCACAGAGAAATTCTCCACGAACGACCGAGTCAATCGATGGGATAAAGCTCATTCTCTTATTTGAAGAAATTGCCACAGCCACCTCAAGCTCTAGCAGCCACCACCCTGATTAGTCAGCAGCCGTCTCCATCAAGGCAAGATTCTTCACCAGCAAAAAGATGACTTGCTGAAGGCTCAGGTGACTGAACATTAGCTTATTTTTCTTTTTTTAGAAATGTATCCTTTGTGTTTTTAGATATAATGCTAGTACACATTTAACTGGCTGCAGTACATCTACAGTTTTCAGAACAGTTATTTAATTTATTTTTATTTAAGCTTTGTCAGTGTATCCTATTGTTTCCCAGGGTATGTTGTTTTCTTGAGACAGATGAACGTTATCAATAAAAATTATTGAAAAGAACACAGAAGATCCTTGCTACAACATTGGCAGTATATGGCACTGAGCAGTGGATAGAACAATGATTTTAAGAGCTGAAAAATTTACCTTGACAGGAAATCCGAGAAGGAAAGGCGGACAGGGTATCCATATCGGAAGATCTTCACCATCTCCAGGACCCCAATATATTGTAGCTGAGCAGACACATAAAAATTATCAAACGTGTCTGGTAGCTTTGAGTTATTGGGCCTGATACAGTGAACGAAGTGTGGAGTACACTTCTGGAGTTTCCCAATAATATCCGTTAGTGATTTCTAAGGAGAGAAGTAAAACCCAACTGATTCTCCACAGAGACACTGACTAAAATTACAAAGCAGTTTTTTAAAAATAAAAAATGTTTAAATCTTTATCTTCAATCCGTGACTCTGATTTATTATGCATTCACTCAGTCTGTATGCGTGCATGTTTTTTTCCCTGAAGGTACTCAAGTTGTCAAAAATTGGAAAAATAAATCTATGCAAAACCTCTGTAGTTGATATAAGCATACATTGCATTTCTGAAATACGAAAACGTTACTGACCCTGAGTTGTGATGCTATGGTGACTGGATCTCCTCGTTCCAGTCTTTGAAGAAACGAAGAAGTTCCTTTCTTTTTTAATAACTGAAGAAAGAAAGAAAGAGAGAGAGAAGGAGGGATGGAGAAAAGGAGGGAGGGAGGAAGAGAGAAAGATTATTTCAGTTTAGAAGATAAAAACTAAGACGTGTATACATGTAAATTCACTTACAGAAAAATACAGATTTAAATAAAGCATAGGTTATAAATATCAGTACCAAATGATTTTTCTATAAAAGTTGAGGACATGGGCAACTACTTGCAAAATAACTACCATTCCTCCCAGCTTTTCTTGTATAAACTTGATCTACCATCATCTTGTATCCATTTTAGTTTGAAAATAAACATAGATCTTGATTCTTGTGGAACAATAAACTCACTACCATATCCTAGTTATGTTACTAATTGTTCACATTTATCATGAAATGCTGTTTGCTCTTGGGCAAAAGGATACTATTTTATGCTACAAAAATCTGATGTTTTAACACTCATTGTTTTGCTCCCTTATATTTCACCTCAGTCAGGAATTAGATAGACGGATGAGTTTGATGCATTCTTACCCATGTTGATCTTTCCCTTTCTTTTCTTCTTCTTCTTTTTTTTAACTACCAAAAGAGGTTAGTAAATTAACGACTATGAAAAATGACAGTTGACTGTGTTTTCTTCAATAAGTAATCATATATGGCTTTCAAAAGAAAAAAATATTATATGCAGCAAAGATTAAATGATAATGGAGATTTTTTAAATCAGTGGAAATGAGACTAAGTATAAAATAAAGGGCAGAAGGTAATTAATTACATTCCACCAGGGGTTAAATGGAGCCTCAGTCACTAATGTACTACTACATTTCACAAAATCACACAGACTTAGACTAACATATCTATTGATCTAAAATCGCTTCTTTTAAAAAACATCTCGATCCAAGAAAAAAATCTGATAACAAATCAAGATAGTACTTTTGGTATTATGACAGTAGCTTATTTCCTTCTTTTACGATGAACTGTCAAGCTGGAGTGATTAACTGCAACTGACACAAGGGAATGTAAAATGAAGCAATTGGTCCAAGATCAACCAGCTTTTTTTTTTTTTTTTTACAAATACAACACAAAGCGTGCTGTGCAGTTAAAGAGTGGGTAAAATCCTATTTTCCTGGCCACAGGGGTGGTTGTTGTGCAGAGCTGAAGGCACTTGGAGGGGAAGAGATAGGGGAATTGAGGAATGGAACACTTAAGGAATCATCATAATAAATAAATCTCCATTCCTTGAAATGGAACACTCAATTTCCCTTTCTGGGCTGAGGAACTACTGTGAATTATCTCCCTTTTGCAGTCCTTTAGGGAAAAGACTAATGGCATCTAGGCCTCCTAATGTTTAATAATTGAGGTTAAAAATTACAGTTTAGAGGTGTGTGGTGATTTCTTGCTCTTGATTTTCAGAATGATTAAGAAAGGAAGGGGCAGAAGGTTCACCGAGACCCCCAGGAATAGAGCTTTTCCTGGTAAAGGAAAACCCTTTGTCTTTTTAACATAAAAGGTGTCATTTTTGGTGTGGCATTATTGAATTCCCATGATCACCCAGATCTAAAACAACTACATCAAAGGATCCCTAATTCTAAGATCTTCTGGCTGAAGACACACACACACACACACACACACACACACACACACACACACACACACACACACATTTTTATTACACATTTCTGGCACTCTTCTAAAACAGAGTTGATTTTGATTATGCTTTTATTTTAATTGGTAAGCTAAAATGTATTCCAGCAAGCTGCAACAACTGCATTTCTAAAATTGATTGTCCTGAACACCTTCCCAATTATATCTCTCATATTTTATAGTTTTGGTAGACATAAGCAAAACAAACTGGATACCATCTGGCATTGGGTCCTTGAGAAATCAGAACGCTTCTATTTCCTATCATTTTAAAACAACTCTTTGCTGAGATTTTAGTTCTCTTTTACAAACAGTACCTCTACATTGCCTGTACTACCAAACTTACCTGGGGTAAACACACATTTAACAATTAGTATAATGCAAAAATAAGTTTAAAAATCTACAGATACACAGTGAAAACATCCCAGCACCTGAAAAAATCCTATGTCTATAAGAGAAATTACTATTTATTGTTTAGAGACTTAAATTCTCTGAAGTGATTAATATCGACAAAATAAGATAGTTAAGTTTATTCCCTCTAAGCCTTCTGTCCCTGAAGTTGCTTTCCATCTATCAAGAAGACAGTCATGGCAATGAAACATAAGTAGGATGGTGCACTGAGAACCAATGAAATGCTAATGTTGTACTTGCCACTGAATTGTCACTGTAATGTGGTTTCCTTTACTGTTCTCTCATTCTGATGGTTCAAGTAGGCATTCTTTTCCTTAATTCTTACCATTAGAATATCAATTTCTATTGTGACTAGTGTTCATGTCATGGGACACTGCCAGGAGTTGGGAGGAGGTCACATAATAACACAGAGGGTACCTGGTCCTAAAGCAGAGGCAGTGAGAACCAGTTGGAGACCCAAAATTCACCTGCATGTCGATTATTTACATACCTAATTCTGACTTCTACCCTGCATCTCTATAATAAAATAAATTTATATTAAAAGTATCAATTTCTTTCCATTGATATTCAAAATTGTGCTTAAAAAAGGAAGAAGGAGCAAATATACTAGTCAAGCTTAAAAGCAATAGGACAACAATCACAAAACTCCTACCTTACTAATTTCTAAATAATTCTTGTTTTCTCCAGTAATTGAAGAAGCTGCCATTTTCTTACTGAGCAGAGCAGATTTATGTCCTCGGAATTTAAAGGAAGGACAGGAAGAAGATACGAGGGATCCTGTTTGGGACAATTTCGACTGGAACAAATGATTGATCACGACATTTTCACTAGCTAGGAAATAAACACATGAATATTGTAAGTGGCGTTAAAATCGTCATTTATTTAAGCATTACACATATTCCTTGTACAAGTGCTCTAGCCACTAAAACATTCTGTGTGCAAGATGTAATTGGTGCAGCAAAGTGAGGAGTCTTCATTTCCGAATGTCTGTATTTTATTTATCCCATTATCCGTACCATTGACAAATTGTGACCTTCACTGTCCTTGGTTAGGATCATGATCTCACCACCTTCTCTTGTTCTCTACCTGAACACTGAGTCCTCTGCTCTCTGGGTGACACTTACCTCTACCCTGGGATTTACACCCAAATCTTACCTGCTCAGACCTAAGTGGTCTCTGTGCACTCCCCAAGTCATGAAATCTTATAGTTTCTATAAGAAATGCGTCCCTCCAGGAAAATAACTACCCAGGAAAACATTTTCCTAGGACCTAACCTGTTTCAGAGTAGCATGTAAATACTTGTGAGAGGCTCTGTGTCACCTGGCTGCATCAATTGTTAGGTTGAAGAAGGGAAAAGGAAAAATGCCCTTAAAAAATCCAGTTAAGCTGCAAAAGTAAAGCAAGATGATATATTTTAGTTGTTGTGTTAAAAGTTGAATCATTCTTGGTCCATTTTCTTGACACCTCAGGGAGGAACTAGAGTTTAGGTGAACAGATTTTGCCTTACAGATTTGAACAGCATAGTGGAAACAATGTATATGGAAGTTAAGGATCTAGGAGAAATGTTTCTTATATCATTTACATCTCGATGTAGGCAGTTTTTAAGCCTAAGTGTCCGTTCCTTTAAAATGGTGATGATAATACCTACCTTGAGGATAACGGCAAAATTAAAATATAAAATATTATGTATACATACATCACCTAGGGATATGCTTCACCAGATAGTTAGCAAAGTCCAGTAGCAAAGCAGTTTAATTTCTATCTTTTCCACCTTCAAATTATTTTTCCTCCTCAGGTGCAAAATAGAGCTCACACAATATGTATTTATTATGCTTTCAGTAACAAATCCCTACATTAATATACAAACAGAGTAGCAGGAAAAGCTGTCAGGAAAAGGAGATTGAATTATGGAATGCCAAAGGAACTCTGTGAAGTTGGATTGAAGTTAGAGGTTTCAGGATGAATTCATGATTTTTGACATATGTTACTTCCATCTCTATATTAAATCTATATGTTTTGAAAGGACCAAAAAGCAATGACACCCCAGTAGCAAAGAGCTCATCCATCCAATATCTGGTTCTAAATCTGAGACATGGTAGATGACTCTGAACCATTACTGGAAGGCCAGAATGCAAAAAAAAAGTACTGAAAACCATGACAATCTGTCAAAAGGACACAAGAGCTAGCTTGAGGGGACTCACAATGGCTAAGTCTTACACAATTATAGCATCAATATAATGATAGTAATGAATTATGATTTATTGAATTAAATAAAAACCTATGAGTCCATACTGATAATAAATAAATGAAGGCATGAAGAAAGAAGTGAACGTTCTTAGAGTTGAATGTCATTGTTGATGGAAAGACAGGGTCAGAAAATCAAAATTTTGCAGACAAAAGAAAAACAATTGGCTTACATAAGAATCATAAATGTATGCAAAACTAATGGGCAGAAGTTTGATGAGGAACAGAATATTTACACATTCTGCATTTTTACAGCAACTTTAGCACAGGAAAACCTGCAGAACGCCACTTTATCAAAGTGTTCATGGTTAACACTTTTCAAACTGTCACTTCCTCCAAAGATGATGCATGGAAGACACGGCACCATCTTTGTGGCATTCCTGACCAAAACAAATGCATAGTCTGCTTCTAATATCAAGAAATATTACGTAAACTCAAACTGAGGGATATTACAACAATTAACTGGCCTCTTAAAAATATTAATGTCATGAAAGACAAAGAGGAGCTAGAGGGCTGTGTCAAATTTTAAAAGTCTGAATATGATCAATTCCAAATCCATCCAAGTTGCTGCAAAGTCCATATATTTGTCCTTCTTGATGACGGCATAATATTCCATTGTGTATATGTACCACATTTTTTAATCCAGTCCAGCTTCAGTGGGCAACATGGTTGGTTCCATGTTTTTGCTATTGTGAGTAGAGCTGCAATAAACATACATGTGCAGGTATCTTTTTTGTAGAATAATTTGAGTTCCTCCAGGTATATTCCCAACAGGGGAATTGCTGGGTCATATGGAAGGCCAATTTCTAGTTCTTTCAGGAGTCGATCATACTCAGTGATTTATCACAGAAACAAAGAACTCAGTTTCATATGTTCTCACTCATAAGCTGACCTTGAACAATTACAATCTATAAGAAAGTGATTAGCAGTAGTGGAAAACTGTCATGGGGGGTGGGATTGGCAGTTGAGGGAAACCGCTAGGGGAAGGAGGGGCACACCTCATCAACAAGGGTGCCTGCCTGATCAATGTTTATATACTTAACACTGAATTGTACCCCACATATCTCTATAATAAATATTAAAAAAAATACATAAAAAGTCTGAATAACTAAATGCAACGAATGTTCCTGAAATAAGAACAATCACTATAAAAGGTGAATATTATTGGGACAATTGATAAAATTTGGTGTGAACTCTGGATTAGATATTAGTGTCACTGTTGAATATTCCGATAAATTCCTGATGATATGTAAGATAATGTCCTTGCTCACAGGGTGCTCACCAAAGTATCTCGACATGAAAAGTCAAGCAACTTATTCTCAAGTGATCCAGAAAGTAAACACAAGCATGTGCACGCACACACACAAACACACAGGAAGAAGAGCCGAGGACAGCAAGGGACTGGAAGTTTCTTGTACCAATTTTATAACTGCCAGTTTGAAATCACCACAAAATAAAAAGTTGAATAAGTATATAATACCATGGTCCACTTAAATAAATAACAATTATTGTTTCCATTTGTAGAAAACCCACATATGAATGAACCCCCAGATAAACAGTGTAACACATGATTCCTATAATTGAGAAAAAAAAGCCTTTAATAAAACCAAAAAGCAATAGACATAATATGAACCAAAATATGCAACTGACCCATTTCTGCATCATTTTCTGAGTCATATGATCAGGTCTCATGAAGCTATAACAGGACCCATGTTATCCTACTGAAACAGAGAGATGCCGTCATGCATCAGGATCCTGATATCAGAGCCCTGGCTACAGCTGGGTGAGTGGCAGATGACAGCAGTCTCTCTCTCTCTCTGGACATAAAAAAAAGAAATTCTGCCATCCTCTCACCTCTTAGCATCTAATAAAGCAACCTGATGAAGAGGCAGTTTTATTCTTTCTGTCTGATTACAAGGAGTCACTTACTGCAAACTATGTTCTTCATGTCACTCTGTACACGCACTGACATGGGAAGTGTCCCTCACTGGTATCTACAGTCATTGCACAGATTGTCTTTTTGCCTGTCAACGAGATGAGCCAACTTAGGTACCCACAATTTTCAAGCAGGTGTGTGGAGACACACAGAAACAGAGACTCAATAACTGACAGCATGACTAAATAGTAAGTCCCCCTAAATCCTGCCCTCTTTCTCCAAGCACCGATGTTTTGAAGTACTTAACAGAAAACAAAATTCACCTGTGCTTTTTTCCCCCAAACTTTTCTGTGTACAGGTGCACACACAAAGAAACTTTAAAATATATTGGAACTCTATTAAGATAAGCAGAATTGCAATATTGCTAGCCATCAAATTTTCATTTTAAATCGTTATATCCTATCACCATGGCATACAAAAGTAAAGAAAAAAAGTTGTGTAAATTTTTAAAATGTGCTATATATTAGAGCCTAAAAAAGATAAGACCCAAAGGGAAGTGTATTATAAATAAAAGGACCCAAAAAAGCAAACCATAAGGAAAATACTTCCAATGAAAATAAATAGGATCAATTATTGCAGTGTTTTTCCTTCTTTGTGTTATTATTCCAAGTCCTTGCTTTTATCATTAGTCTCAGCTCAGAGAACTCACAACAATCATACATCCTGAGAGGGAGCGGGAATAATCTCCTGTGGGAAACAATGTATCAAACCTTGCTGCTGTGACTTAAGGCAGGCATGGCTCTCACACCAGAAGTGATCTGGATTTCTTATTCTCTACTCAAAAGCATTCAGCTATTTCATGAAGAGCTCGCGTGTGCTTCCTTTCCCAGGAAGGATAAATGACTCTCTTATTTAGAGCGGCTTAAAGCACCAAAGTTGATGTGCTTTCATTCACTAAAGAGATTATTAGAAAAATGTGAATCACAGCAGACCTGCTATTAAGAAAATAATTACTAGAGGAGACAGAATTATATACATAGGTATTTATATCCATGCTGTATGTGTACATTTAATTATAGCATATATAAATTTTGTATAGTTTACATATAGTTTAGAATTATAGCAGACATAAAGTGTTAATGTTCATTAAGTAGAAGGATCCTATAAATTTATATATACGTGTGTACATACTTATATATACATTTCCTTTAAATTTGCATATACTTACATATTATATATATTTCTATACATTTACATATGCATGCATGTGCATATTTATATATACATGCATGTGTATATAAATTTATGACCCCTCTACTTAGTGAGCATTAATACTTTATAACTGGAAGCATAAGAACAAAATACCATCTTTAGCTGTGCTCCAGAGCCATCTTAAGTAATGAAATTCACCCTACTGTGGCCTAAATAACTTTGGAAGCCATATTTATCTTCATTAATCTTCACAGAAAAGCTTTTTTATATTCATACCACTAAAGTAGTAAAGGTGTTTTACATTTCTATCTGCTAAAAGCTTAGTTAAATTATGGTTTCCCCTTGACTCCAAATTAAATTGTAACCGATGTATAGTGTGTCAAGAACCATTCTTTATTATTCTGGGCATTAGAATGCAAAAGATATTTCAATTATCCTTTAGCTGGTAGCACATTTTATAGGAAAATATTCATAAATAAAGAAATATAGATGCATGATATTTTAACCAGTGTAGAGCAGGAAACAAAAATTAACTTACTTTTCATGACAAATAGAAGATTCTGTGAAAGGGAATCTTTATTTTTTTCAATTGCTCCAACAATATCATACGTTACCTAGAAGAAGAGAAAATCCTATAATTACTAATGATTAAATATGATTATAAAAATAAATTCCTTTAAAGAACAACTTGATTCAGCAGAGGCTTTAAATAATTTATATGAGAAATGTCTTTGGGTCTTAGAGTTCACATTACATGCAAGTACCAAGTTATGGGCCTGTTCTCATCCTGTACGTTAAACAAGGGACCCCTCTCCTGTTCTGTTTGTGACGCTCTCCTTTGATTCTTGAGTAAGAACAAATAATAATAACTCACATTCATGTACTCCCTTTTATTTTTAAGGACTCTAACTTGCTCAGAAAACTCACTAAACCAAGTAAAAAGACTGGGACACTTTGGGAAGAAAGTGTCATTTCAGTTAGAGAAATTTAATATTCTCTGTATGTAAAAAGTTCTGTAGGATCGAAATGAAAACAAATACATAAAACAATTATTCCACATTTCTCAAAGGGTTATTCTCTTCACCATAGCTTACTTAAGAAAATATTTAAATGATATTATTGTCTGATTTTAATGGCATACCAGTACGGGCTGTAAGAATTGAACTTTGAAGACAGAAACAACACTGTTGCCTTTCTTGGTCTCAGCTAAGTGTAGACTCCCAATGTAGTGACAAGGAGCAGAGCTACCACACATCCATGACAGACTCAGCAGTTACAACAGCTGCTTATTTCAGAATCATCTAGAGGCATAAGATCGGGGTCAGAGTGCCACGGACTATTTTTTATCCTGAGTGACGCAGATGGAAGCAGGGGAGGCAGGTAGCCAGTGACAACACCCATGAGGGAAGTGAGTGTCACCCATGAGGGAGTGTGAATGTCACCCATGAGAGAGCGTGGGTATCATCCATGAGGGGTGTGAGCATCACCCATGAGGGGTGTGAGCATCACCTATGAGGATCGTGAATGACACCCATGAAGAATGTGAACATCACCCATGAGGAGTGTAAGCATCAACCATGAAGGAGTGTGCACATCCCCCATGAGGAGTGTGAGCTTTCATACCCACTTCTCTGAGAATTTTAACTAGAGAACCCAGAATTATTGGATAACTGGCAGTGAAAGGACACTAGACAGAGAGTAGAAACCAAAAGAAAGAGGCTGGGTAGCAGACGGGAGAAGCTAGAATACATCCAGATGATCTCTCATTACTCTTGCTTCCTACAGGGATTTTTAAAATTCCAGTGCCTGATATATTCATCCTTAATAAGACCTAAGTTATCATTTGTTGCTGCCATAAGGGCCTAAATAGCACAGAACTCACAAGTCATCCTGTACTTTCCCAAGATTTCTGATAAATTTCAGTCAGAAGACTGGTTGAGTTAAGTGACAGGGTCAAAAGCCTAAACAATTTTCGGGTATAACTAAATAATTACCTAATTATTCAATAGGAACTTGTACCAGAACTCGGCTTACTGATATAAAAATATGAGCTACATATCACAGTACACACGATACATTGCTAATCATCAGTAACTTTATATAATCTAGAGCAGTGGTTCTTAACCAGGTTTGATTGTACCCTCCAGGGGATACTTGGCAGTGTCTGGAGACATTTATTTTTTCACAACTGGGGGTGATATTTGGTCAGGGATATTGCTAAATGGCCTGTAGTATGCAGTCATGTTCTCACAGAGAAAAATCATCTGGTCATACATATTCATAGCATTAAGGTGGAGAAGCCTTGATCTACATGTCTGACTTCTCTATGGCTTCCTGCACTAGTAAAAGTGGTGTCCAGCAAAACTGTGGAAGAAGGTCAACGTATCTCCAGAAGCCACCCTGGATATATGTGGAATTAGGAAAGTCACTTAATGTCCAGAACTTCAGTTTCTTAATCAATAAAAATAGAGCAAAAATATCTTACCATACTGCTAATATTGTGATGTTACTATACATGCAAGTTTTTGTAGGCCAAAAAGAGGTATCCAAAATATAAGGTGTTACAAACAGCACGTGTAATTTTTCTATAGAAAATCTTACTGTGTTGTTTCATCATCCCCCAGCCATGCCCATATGACTTGCTAAGTAGTCAGTTACTCCAATTCACTTCTGGAAAATTAATAGAAGTTAAAATAATTTCTTATGACACACTTCTCCATATGACAGGTATAGCCATCACATTCTTGAGTACTAGGGATTAACTTTTCACTTAATATACAGCTTCCCCAAGTGCCATTTCTGTAGCATCAAAGAACAGTATGTGTTTGCTAAGGATCTGGTTCAAATTCCTCCAATCGTGTCCATCACCATGATTTTGAGTATTGCTGATGCAAATATTAAGAGGTACTCTATCCCCAAGATATTCGAATCTCACACACTCAACTCTGATAGTCTGTGTTGTCCCGTTCCTCTGTCTTTCTGCATGTGCTTTTCATTCTTACTGACATCTCTTCTCCCTCAATTCCTCTACAGTATTGAAAGCTACTGTTTCATTCTGATTTTTTTTAAGTATCAAGATAACTAGAACCTTAGGCCAGCCATGTAAATAACAAAGAACAATGATAAGTTTCCACCATTTTTTGTTCATAATCAGTCATTCTTAACTCTAGCTAATGACATGGTCAATCATTGGATCTGATTGCAATTAGGTATTATTTGCATCTGCCACAAATTCATGCTGATGTCAAAGATGGATCTTCATTCACCTCTTAATGACACTACATTAAAATACTCCCAGTAAATGTTAGAAATTGTTTTGCCTTTTTTTAAGCTTCCAGACCCAGTTTCATATTTTCTCATCCTTAGTAGACGACCATATTTCTCATATTTCTCACATCAAGGGGAAAAAAATAAAGACTATCTCACTTGAAGATCTCTCTGAATCACTTTCCTTCCTTACTTTTACATGTTCACTTTAGCACATTATCTGGTACTATCAAGGATTCCTCCCCCTCTAAGATTTCTCTCCATCCCTTGCCAATGGCTTTCTCAATTATCCCCTTCAATCTCACTTTTTAAATATTTATTACCTTCATGCTTATAAAACCCATTGCTTATTATTTTGGTAGGCAAATAGTCAAAGCTAAAACCTGGCCTTTTATATCCTCACTTTAGTTAAACACGGCTATTTGATGCATACATTGAATTGAGAATGTCATTTTTTTTTCCTGTTCAGAGTCCCTGATTCCTCCTCTGTACAGTTTCAATCTAGAATTCTAGCCTAATCTCTGGAGGGCAATCTGATGATTCCAGAAGAAACACACACATACATATACAAACAACTAAAGCACCTGCTTTTTTCTAAGTTCATTCTTTGTCTGCCTATGTTCCTATTATGGGCTCATTTAGTGATGGCACTTCCTAGCTTCCCTGGTCAAATTACTACCAAGTGCCTTGAGGGCAATCGCTATGCATTGTTCAGCTCTGTCTCTGCAGCAACTAGCTCAATACCACGTCTATTGGAGGCATTCAATAAATTTTTGATGAAATGGACAGGAAGTTTCATCATATTGTAATCAAATATAGCATACTATTGTGCTGTCCTTTAATTTTAAGATCATGCTGATTGAGTCTTTCATTATCACAAGATCATGTGTCTTGGAAAGTTCTCATACACGGCACTCTAAGTGTACATGGATGTCTAGACAAGAAGCTGAAGGTCTCCCATTAAAACTAAATTTCCTTGTAGTATCATGATAAATTTTAATGAGAGACCTTCAGTTTCTTAGGGATTGGCAGTAGTGGGAAACTGCCATGGGAGGGGGGTGGGATTGGCAGTTGAGGGAAATTGCCAGGGGAGGAAGGGACACATCTCATCAACAAGGGAGCCTGCATAATGAACATTAGTATACCTAACCCTGAATTGTGCCCCACATCTTAAAAATAAAAAAAAAGAAAGAAAAAACTAAAGTTCCAAACTTCCCATGTAGAGACTCCAACTCATTGAGTTACCTAGGGAAAAAAGTATGTAACATACTCACACACTTACACAAATTTGATTAAGACAGTTTGATGTTTGTAGTAAGCACATTGCTTACCAATTTTTTTATTGCTAAGAGCTTTATGTGAAGTTAATAAATTATGAAGCAGATGAGCTTAATTATTTTTGTGATATTGAACAAGCTCCTTAAGCTTGCTGACTCTTTCTTCATGTTTAAATAATATTCCATAGGGACCCTCCAACTTTAAAAGCCACTGACTCTATTCATAAGATATGAATGATCATTACTGATGGCATTTGAGTTGACAGCTCAACATAAATATTAGAGACTACCCAAATATCCTAGCTGTTTTGTCATAATTAACATAATAATACAAATAACTGACAATGTGTTCCATAAAATTGGCATTAGTGGATTGTTAACACGTGATTCCAAATAATGATTTTTTTCCTGGCCTGAAATCTGCAATCAAACATTTCCTCTAGGAGATCATTTGCATTTTAGTGGAAAAAATGACATGTGGACCACCATCTGAACTCTAGGAGTACATAACAGCACATTATTACTGGATTAGTGAATGCTTCTAGGTATTTCTGGAGGACAGAGCTGAGAAATATAAAAAACACACATCAACATGCACAGGCATACAAGCAAACACTCTTCTTTTTAATTAGAAGATAAAATACCACCTGATTCCTAATTTGGTTTTTTTAACCATGATTTGGCTTTGTCAAAGGCAAGTTGAAAATTGAAATGAATGGTGCTTATTCATGCTCATTTAGTATGTCTATATAAAAAACATATTACCTTAAAATATTTAAATAAAACTTTGGATTTTGAAATAATTTTAAATTTGCTTGCAGTTATAGGAAATGATACAGACAAATCTTCTTTATCCTTTTTCTAATTTCTTTCAGTGGTAACATCCTGCAATACTATCACAACTGGTATATTGACATTAATGCAGTGAAAATACGGAATATTTACATCACCACGTGGATCCTGAATATTGTCAATTTACAAACACATTCACTTCCCAAAAGTCAGTTGAATCTATTTGTGTGGCTTTGTTTTGGGGTTCTTATTTTGTTCCATTGAACTATGTCTCTATC